CACTTGGTAGCCCAGGCTGGCCTCGAACTCACAGAGATCCGCCTGGCTCTGCCTCCCGAGTGCTGGGATTAAAGGCGTGCGCCACCACCGCCCGGCTAACCTTCAACTTCTTAGGGAAGAGAAAAATAACAGGGAATAATATCTGCCTTGGATCTATACATAGAAAGCTCGTAAATCTTAATGAGTCCAAATCATATTTTCTCTGGAAAAGATTTCATTATTTTCTGTCAGAATTGTATTTTAATAGGTCATAAAGTAATCTAATTTTTTTATTTTCTTTTTTTAATGAGTAATACACTTTATTTTATGTGCATTGGTGTTTTGCCTTCATGTATGTCTGTGTGAGGCTGCCAGATCTTGCAGTTACAGACAGTTGTGAGCTGCCATGTGGGTGCTGCGAATTGAACCTGGGTCCTCTGGAAGATCAGTCAGTGCTCTTAACTGCTGAGCCATCTCTCCAGCCCCCCTTTTAATGTTATTATTGTGTATATTTATGATGTTATTAATGTTTTAACTATTTTAAAGTATTTTTATTTATTCTTTGAGTATTTCATATGTGTTTACAATTTTTAGCATTCAGGTGCCCTTTTCTATTTTATAAATTTCTCTTAGCCTAGGTCATGCTGGCTATACGTGCATGGATGTGGGAAAATTGTAAAAATATTTTTATTTATTTATTTATTATGAGTGTATATGATGTGTATGGATACACGTGCCACAGCATGCATGTAAAGGTCAGAGTTAGAGTCAGTTCTCTCCTTCTACTTTTACTGTGGTTCCAGGGTCAACAAACACCTTTACCCTCTCAGCCATCTCTCTGGCCCAGGGTCTCATGTAGCTCCCACTGCTCTGGAACTTGTTGTCATCTAAGGTTGGCCTTTAATTATTGCTCTTCCTACCTCTACATTCTTAGGTGTGTCTTTTTTTTTCCTTTCGAGTGCCTTTCTTTTGCCTCTAGTGCTTTAAAGTCAATATTAAAATTTTAATAACTTCTACTTCCGTTTTAAGATAATTTAATGTTTATTTATTTATTTTTGAGGCAGAATTTCACTGTATAGCTTAGGCTAGCCTGGATCACTGTGTTACTATGTAGCCTAAGCTGGCCTCACACTTGTAATTTCTCTTGCCTTAGCTCCTAAATAACGATACTATAGGTGTGAGCTACTCTGACTAGCAGAGTAATTTTAATAGAAAAATAAGGTGAGAGCCTCTCTCCAAAGATCAAATAGACACAAATGAGAAAAGCTACAGAAGTACGGCAAAGAACTCCTGAATGCCCTTGCCCAGGTACACCAATTATAAACACTTTTATATGTTTTATTTTCATTTCTTCTACATATTTTTCATTTGAAATTTAGTTTTTGTTATCATGCCCCTTGCTTCCTGGAGCATTTTAGTGTTTTTGTTTTTCTAAGTTAAAGGATATTTCACTTATAGAATGACCCTATAGTTTATGGACTAATATCCAGAAACAACAGTGAAATCTGAGCCTGGTTGCTTATACCTGTAATTCTAGCATTTAGAAGGCCGAATCAAGAGGATAACCATGAATTTCAGGCCACTTGATCTACATACTGAGTTCTAGACTAGCCAGGGCTCTGAAGCAAGGTTCTGCTAAGAAAAAAAGAAAAGAAAAAAAGAAATAGCAGACAGACACGCACACGCACACGCATACACGCATGCTCCCTATTATCTGGAATGTGGTCTTTTCTCGTTACCCTAATATTAGTCTTCTTAGGAATCATGTTTTTCTGAAACACACTGAATTGAGTTTTTCTTTTTTTTAGGTTTTTTTTTCCCCCTAAATATGGATTTTTTTTTTTTTTTAAGCTTTCTTTGCTTTTTTTGACACTAATGATTTTGAGCAGTTAAGGAGTTTAGGCCATTATTTTGAAGAACATCTTTCACTTTGTATTTCTCTGATTTTTTTGTTTTCTGGTTAGGTTTTGCATGTTGGATGACAGTAGTATCTCAGATGATATTATATCCATCTCGGTGCACTTAGGACACACGAGGACTTATCTAATTATTGGTGGCCATTTGGTAACTTTGATTTTCAAAGTAGTGTATGCAAGTTTTCTTTACTGGAAAATTTGAATTAAGGTATTTTATAAGGAGACATGTCAATATTATGTTAATATCTTGTTGCATATTTCTAGTAAGTAGTGTTACCCTTTGTTGATGATTCTTCCTGTACTAGTTTATTGTGATGTTATATGGTGGTGATTTCAACAACTGTAGAATTTATTATATTATTAGTTGGCATTCTATTGAGGCTTTACATTTCCTCTGTCATTTCTAATTGTTTTCATGACTGGGTTTATAATTTTATTATCATTAAGATATTTTGATGTCCAGTTGCTACAGTGTGGAGTTGTAGGCTCTTTAAGTTGGCCCTTGTGTATTTTTTATATGTGTCTGTCAGTGTTTGAACGTTTTGTCCTTTGGAACAGTAAAATATGCGAGGTTTGTCTGGTACCTTTCCTGCCTTACTTTGGAATCAGCCCTTTCTCTATGAAGGTCTGTGTTTCTTTCAGTGCGTTATCGAAAGCAACATAGTATAACTCTGCTGTACCCCTTGAGAGTAGAGCAGACTTGTCAAGTTACTTAACTGCTTTAAACCCCAGTTGTTATCTGGAATGGAAGTAAAAATGATACATGCTTTCCTAGTGCTGTCCTAAGGATTCATTTAGACAATTCACTTAGAAGTACATGTCTCAGTAAATGTGACATCAATATTGCCTATTATTACATCACTATCCCCTCTTTTTCCCCTTAACAGGATATTTTAAAGGATTGTTGAAGACGAAAGTTTTTATTTTTGTATGTTTTTTAATGGCTATGCAGAATATTAAATAGAATAAAGTTTGACATGACGGCAAAAAGTGTAAGTATTTGTAATTTTTTAAAAATAATTTTAATGTGAGCCTATGCTGTCTTGCTATACATAGTTTCTCACTGTTCTGGTTAATAAAATTCAAAATGTTGCCTGGGTTTATAATTGTTTTTGATTGTGTAGTGTGTGAAATAAACTTAATACTATTGAATATAGTACTTTCATAGCTATTAAAGGATTCTTGCAGATTGGTGCCAAGCTTTTCTTTTTCAACAGCTGCAAATTGCTATCTCTAGAAAATTTCCAACTTGGCTTCTTTTCTGGGGGCTGTTACAAATTTGTTTTGGTTGCTAGAGAGTTAGTTACTTGGCCTTATTGAGCACATCTCTGCTTTCTTTGGCTTATTTTTTTCTTTTGTGTTTGCTCAGGGAAATGTGTATGCTCTGACGTTATTTGGAAGCAGATTGCTGCATTCCCTGAGGTATTCCCTGAAGACCATCTAAACTTTAGAAGTGTTGGGAAAGTTATCTACTATCCTCCCTCTGTTTAAATGATCATTTCTTTATATCTTTATTGTAAAGGTGCAGGGCTGTCTTAGGTTCACAAGTAGGAATTTAGTAAGCCCTCAGGGCAGCAGAGAGCAGGGCTACCAGAGAGCAGGGCTCCTGTGCTCACTTGATGAAGGCTTCAGTGCTGGCCACATGAGACTGAGGTAGGCATTGGTGAGGTGAGGCTAGCTTGTGGCTTTTCCTGTTTCCCTGATCTCTCAGGTTGTTACCCCTATATCTGGCTCTGTGTTTTGTTTTCCTTTGAACATAAAAACAGGTTGTAATTTAAAAGTCCAGGGTTATTTTAAACAGTAAAATATTTTCTCTGTAGAAAATAGTATAAATGATAACATTTCCTAATAAGCCATTTTAAGCCAAATGATAGCTGAATTATACATATCAATATTGATTAGATTCTGGTATACAGAATAAGCCTATTTTCATCTGTTCAGAGAGCTATGTTTTACTAAAGTTGTGTAAGTGAGATTCCTATTCATCTTCCCCTTCACTGTTTGATTTACGGCAGACATTTTTCTATAGGTTAATCCATATTCTAAAAGTATTTTAGCCTCTCCACCTGAAAGTACAGCCAGCATTTTCCTTCATCAGCTTGATACAGTACAAATTCTCATCCTAATAGTGAAATGTTTCACTAAAGCTTGCCCAGTGATTGGGTAAAACCAAAACTTATTATAAGCCACGGTCATCCTAGGGTCTCCCCTGCTAGGTAGCCTCCCTAGATCTGTGGGTTGCAGTCTGATTGTCTTTTGCTTTACATATAGTATCCACTTATGAGTGAGTACATACTATGTTTGTCCTTCTGAGTCTGTGTTACCTCAATCAGGATGGTATTTTCTAGTTCCATCCATTTGCCTGCAAATTTCAATATGTCATTATTTTTCTCTGCTGAGTAGTACTCCATTGTGTATATGTACCACATTTTTTTATCCATTCTTCAGTTGATGGGCATCTAGGTTGTTTCCAGGTTCTGGCTATTATGAATAATGCTGCTATGAACATAGTTGAGCATGTATCTTTGTGGTATGATTGAGCATTCCTTGGGTATATACCCAAGAGTGGTATGGCTGGGTCTTGAGGTAGATCAATTCCCAATTTTCTGAGAAACCACCATACTGATTTCCACAGTGGTTGTACAAGTTTGCACCAACAGTGGAGAAGTGTTCCCTTTGCTCCACATCCTCTCCAACATAAGCTGTTATCAGTGTTTTTGATCATAGCCATTCTGACAGGTGTAAGGTGGTATCTCAGAGTCATTTTGATTTGTATTTCTCTGATGACTAGAGATGTTGTTGCTCCGTGTTTTTTATTTAATAAGACCGTTTAGCAATTTGTCTACACTTCAGAAAGATGTGGGCCCAAAACCAGGAGTCTATCAGGAATTGGAACAGTTATTTGTTTTCATAGCTCATCCCTTTCTGATGTTATCCGTCGGCTTCATTCCTTCCTTCTCTCACCTGAAAATCACCTTAGGTCCATAGTCAGCCTTACACTGTCTCTCCCATGCATATTCTGAGGGAGATGTACAGGAGGGAAAGAAGCAGGCTGACAGATCCTTTCCTTCCTGTCACGTCTAATTGCAGACTCTAGGAAAGCATTTCTCTTCTGAGAACAGAGAACACTTGTGTGTGTGCACACCCGCACAAACACACAGTTACCTTTGCCTTTTAGATCATACTTGATCAGGAAAAACCAAAATCCTACTCAAAACTGTTAAGGAGCTAGTTATGGAAGTGTATGGCTGTAATCCTAGCCATTCAGGAGCCTGAGGCAGGAGGATGGTGAGTTTGAGGCTACGCTAGCTAATGTAGCAAGATCCTGTCTGAAAATCAAAACAAACAACAAAAACCCAACCAGTCATCACAACAAAACTCAATTTAAGCCAAAGAGTAAATATATTGCTTCATTTAACTGAAAAATCTAGAGTTCTCAGGCTTTCACTACCTCTACTTGAGAGGTTTGAAGGGTGGCATCTCGTACTGTGTCCCCCGACCCCACCTTTTGGCTGTATAGGTGGTAGCATAATGGCTTACTTGGGTCCTATAGTGTTTCAGTTTATAAGAAGATGTAAGGGCCAGGGGGTGGTGGCGCACGCCTTTAATTCCAGCACTCAGGAGGCAGAGGCAGGAAGATTTTTGTGAGTTCGAGGCCAGCCTGGTCTAAAGAGCGAGATCCAGGACATATGCAAAGCTACACAGAGAAACCCTGTCTCGAAAAACCAAAAAAAAAAAAAAAAAAAAAGGGTGTGGTGTTGTTTTGTGGGTGGGGGGGCGCGGGGGGCCGCCCCGCGGGGGGGGGGGGGGGGGGGGGGAGGTGTAGGTGTGTGTGTGTGTGTGTGTGTAATCCACAGAAGCAGTTTGATTACCTTGCTTGGCTCACAGATCTAGATCTTTCCATCTGTGTGGAAGGAAATAGGATGCCGAAGGTGTGAGGCCTGGGCCAGGAGCCTGTCATTAATGTCTCTTGTCTGAATAACACAGGATATGGCGAGGATGAGATGAGGTACTGACATATATTCTCTGCATGTCATCTAGTAGTACTTACTATCCAATGAGTCTTCTGGACCAAAAATTCAGATATATTTTAAGTTCATCTAGTATACAGCATAGATTTTTTTTTTTTTTCCTTTTTGAGACAGTGCCTTGCTCTCTAGCTAGGCCAGCCTCTCAAACTCAGTCTTTCTGCAACAGTGTCTTAAGTTCTGGAATTGCAGACATGCAACACCCAGCACCGTGCCTGTCTTTCAAAAGAAGATTTGACAAATAAGCCAAGGTGTACTATATTTTGCCTTCTCAATGAAACTTTTTTACATATGCTGTATTTTTTTTTACCTTGATACTTCTGTAACATTTTAAGAGGCTATTTTATGTTACTCATGTTTTCTGATAGTAGTCATTTCCCCCCCTCCCCCGTTTTTAAATGTTTCTGTTTTTCCCTTGACAGTGTTTTAAACTTTTATTTATTTGGGCATAGGTGTGTTTGTATTGTGTGTAGGTGCACATAGCCACAGGGTGCTTGTGCAAGTCAGAAGACAACTTTCAGGAATTGAGTCTCCTTCCACGGTGGATGCCAGAATTGAACTCAGGTCACCAGGCTTGTGTGAAGCATATTTACTGATCAAACTATCTCTCTGGCCATATTTGTAATTTGAAACAAGGTCTTATATAGCCCAAGTTTGCATTGAATGCTTCCCCTGCCCCTCAAATGCTAAGATTACTTTCAGCCACCACTAGAGCATTTTCAAGAGTTTTGTTTTGAGATAGGATCTCACTATGTAGCTTAGACTGGCTTTGAATTCACTATGTAATTCAAGCCTCCTTCCTACTCATGGCGGTCGTCCATCTTCACTCTTCCAACTGATGGGACTACAGGTGTTAGCCCCCTTCCTTAGCCTTTGTTTTTTGTTCCTTTTTTTTTTTTTTTTTTTGGAGACCAGGCTGGCCTCGAACTCACAGAGATCTGCCTGCCTCTGCCTCCGGAGTGCTGGGTTTAAAGGTGTGCGCCGCTACCGCCCAGCTGCAGCTTTTGTTTTTTAAGACAGGATATTGCTGTGTCCTCGGTCTTGATCTAGCTAGCCTGTCTTAGAACTCATTTTTCTGCTTCTTACTTCTTAGGAATTCTTGACTTTGAACATTTTTGTACTCTTTTGCTTGTTTGTTAGATTATTTCCATCAGACAAAAGGCTTAGAAGATTTCTGAGTCATATTATTGAGTGTGTATGATTTTTTTCAGAGATTATCTCCCCCGCCTTTTAGTAGTAGTAGATATTGAATGTTGGACCTCATGTATGTGAGGCAAGTACTTTACTACTGAGTTATAGCTTCTGCTCTAAGAGCTCTAGAATCGTACTGCTACATGGTGTTTTCTAAAGGCTGCTTATTTATTTACTTACCAGTAATGTATGAGAGTGACATTTCTCTTATGTATATGCTTACACGTTTGCAAGGAGCAATGAACCCAACAGGGGCAAGAGTACTGTCTACAGGTTTTCTTTTATTTTTCCTTCCTTCCTTCCTTCCTTCCTTCCTTCCTTCCTTCCTTCCTTCCTTCCTTCCTTCCTTCCTTTCTACAGGTTTTCTTCCTTTTCTTTCTGTATACAGTTTTTCTTTCTTTCTAGTTTTTTCTTTGTTTCCTTTTCCTTCTTTTCTTTCTTTCTACAGGTTTTCTTTCTTTCTTTCTTTTTCCTTCCTTCCTTCCTTCCTTCCTTCCTTCTTTCCTTCCTTCCTTCCTTCCTTCCTTCCTGCCTGCCTGCCTGCCTGCCTATAGGTTTTCTTCCTTCCTTCCTTCCTTCCTTCCTTCCT